AATGCTAAAGTCAATAGTCCTCTTTAAAAAGCCAAATCAAAATCCCAGCAAGCTATTTTGTGGATATTGACAAACTGATTCTAAAGCTTATATGAAAAGGCATAAAACTCACAACAGCCAACATAATACTGAACAAGACGACCAAAGTCAGAGGGCTGACACTACCCATCCCTCCATATCTGTGGGGGATTAGTTACAGAACCCCCTCAGATACCAACATCCAATAATGCTCAAGTCCCTTACATAGAATGGTATAGTATTTGCATATAACCTATGCACATTAAATAATCTCTTGATTACTTCTAACACCTAATACAATTTAAATGCTAATCATTGTTATCTTGTATTGTTTACTTTTATTATCTTTTTATTTTAACCCCAAATATTTTCCGTCTGCTGATGGCTGAAACCAGATGTGGATCCCACAGATATGAAAAGTTGATTGTATTAGGAAAATAACAGCCAAATAGATTAGTTGATCTATCTTGAACAGAACCAGAGAACCAGAAATAGATACACTTAAATGCAGTAAACTGCCCTCTGATAAAGGAGCCAATACATTTCAATGGGAAACAGACAATCTTTTCAACAAATGGTGCTGGAACAACTGGACAATCATAGAGAAAAAGAAAAAAGGAAAAAACTCTAGACACAGAACTTACATATTTCAAAAAATTTAAATCAACATAGATCATAGATCTAAATGTAAAATGCAAAACTCTAAAACTTCTACAACATAACACAGGCGGAAATCTAGGTAGTGATCTTGAGTTTAGTGATGAATTTTTAAGATTAAAAACAGCAAAAGTGTGATCTCCGAGAGAAAAATTAAGCTAAACTTTATTAAATATGAAATATCTGCTCTGCAAAGACACTGTGCAGAGAATAAAAATAAAAGTCACAGACTAGGAGAAAATATTTGTACAAGACATATCTGATAAAGGTACTCAAAACATACAAAGAATTCTTAAATTATCAATCAGAAACAAACAGCTCAACTTAAAAATGGGCAGAAAAATCTGGACAATTCACCAAAGCAGCATATGAAACAAAGGAGCATATGAAAAGATAACCTGCATCATGTATCACTAGGGAATTGCAAATTAAAATAACAATGAGGTAACACTACACACGTATTAAAATGGCCGAAGTCCATAAACTGGCAATAACAAATGTTAGTAAGGAAATGGAGCGAAAGGATCTCTTATGCTAGTGGGAAGCAAAACAGCATAGCCATTAAGGAAGACAGCTTGGCAGTTTTTCACAAAGCCAAAGATAGTCTAGCATATGATCCAGCAATAGCACGCCCAGGTATCCAACTGTGTTGAAAATGTACATCCACGAAAAAACTGCATGTGAATATTTGTAACAGCTTTATTCATAATGGCCAAAAAAACCAAAAACCAAGATATCCTTCAATAGGTGAATGGAAAAACAAACTGGTACATCTGCAAAAGAAATTTACTGATAAAAAGATATGAATTAGCAAGCCACAAGACTAGGAACATTAAATGCATATTGCTTAGTGAGAGAAGACAGTCTGAAAAAGCTACATGCTGTATGATTCCAACTACAGTCATGTGTCATTTACAGAGAACTATGTTCTAAGGAATGCATCAGCAGGTGAGTTCAACATTGCATGATCATGGAGTATATTTACACAAACCTAGATGGTACAGCCTATTGCTCCTAAGCTACAAACCTGTAAAGCATGGTACTATCTATTATATACTGAATACTGCAGACAACAGTAACACAAAGGTAAGTATTTGTGTATCTAAATATAAAAAGGTACAGTAAAAATATAGTATAAAAGATAAAAAATTGTACACCTATAGAGGGTAGTTATCACGAATGGAGCTCACAGGAACAGAAGTTGCTCTGGGTGAGTCCATGAGTGGTAAGTAACTGTGAAGGCCTAGGACATTACTGTACCATACTGTAGACTTCATAAATACTGGATACTTAGGCCAGGCTACATTTATTTTTAAAAATTTCTTTCTTCAATAATAAATTAACCTTAGCTTACTGTAAACCTTTTTACTTTATCATAAAGATTTTAAATGTTTTAACTTTTTGACTCTTTTGTAATAACACTTCAAACACAAACACACTATACAACATATTTTTTCTTCAAAATATTTTTTCTTCATAGCTTTAGTCTATAAGCTTTTTTCTATTTTTAATCTTTTTTTTTTTTACTTTTACTTTTTAAACTTTTTTTTCAAAAAACTAAGACATAAACATACACATTAGCTTAGGTCTACCCAGGATCAGGATCATCAATATCACTGTCTTCCATGTCTGTATCTTGTCTCACTGGAAGGTATTCAGGGGCATTAACACTCACGGAGCTGTCATCTCCTATGATAACAATGCCTTCTTCTAGAATATTTCCTGAAGGACCTGCCTGAAACTGCTTTCCTTAAATATGTAGAAGGAATAAACTAACTCTAAAATAATAATAAAAGGTATATCCTAATAAATACATAGCCAGTAACATAGTCACATTATCAAATATGTACTGTACACAATTATATGTGCTATGCTTTTAGGCAATTGGTAGCACAATAGGTTAGTTTACCCTAGTATTACTACAAACACGTGAATAATGCATTGCACTAGGATGCTACGATGTTATGACAGATACAGCATCACTAAGCTATAGTAGTATTTCAGCTCCATTGTAATCTTCTGGGACCACCATCATATATGCAATTGTCACTGAGCATAACATCATTATGCAGCACATGGCTATATATGACATTCTGGAAAAAGGAAAACTACAGAGACAGGAAACAGGTCAGTGGTTGTCAGGGGCTGAGGATTAGAGAAAGAATATGGATAAATAGGTGACACACATTGATTTTTAGGTCAGTGAAACTATTCCATCTACTACTGTAATGGTAGACACATGACATTATGCATTTGCCAAAACACATAGAATTGTTCAACACAAATAGTAAACCTTAACATGTTATGAACATTAGTTAATAACAATGTATCAACATTGTTTCACTAATTGTAACAAACTTACCACACTAATGCATGTTAATATCAGAGAAAACCATGGAGAAGGGGTTGAGTTGGGGGAATGAGGGTGGTATATGAACTATGTGGAAATTCTCTGTAGCATCTGCTCAACTATTCTATAAATTTAAAATTGTTCTAAAAACAAAGTCTATTAATTTAAAAACTGGGCATTTCAAAATCAAAGAAATGTGATATAGTTCCCTGTTTTGGGCATCATATTACAGTAAGAGTTAGAAATAGAGGCAGACGTAAACTATAACTACAAACTTCAAGATATCCCATTTTCGAAAATCAAATACTTACTAAGCACATCCTATGTCAAAAATGTTACTAGTTACCTCGTCATGACGGAGCTGCGATTATACCTATTTTTCCTTAGATCTCCCAACTCTCTAGTCTCTATGCTGTTTTCTACCCTTTGCCTTATTCCAAGTACCATTTCTCCCAAACAATGTTTCTCACTAATTCCATGAAATGTCATGATAATCAAATACGATAGTCTAAGGTAAAACCTTACAGCTCACAGGTTTCCTTCCTCTACTGCAAAAGTTCTCACATTCTCTTCTTCCTCCTTTATTGTCAAGAGGTTTTAATCATAATTTTAGACATTAAAAACTAAAACTTAACTAGAAAAAAGGAGCAACTTAAGAAAACAAACCAACTTTTCCTTAGAAATTAAAAAAAAAAAGAATCAAGCATTTTCCTTTTGGTATTCCTGTAAGATTCAAAATTTTAAAACTTTCCTCAAAATATGAAAAAAAGCATTGTGCTTTTAATGCTAATTACATATATATGATATACATACATAAATACAACCACACATGTATACAAAACAAACAATATACATCTCTCAAATTATTGAGGGAAGGGACTACACCCTTACTCATATTTCATGCCAAAATAAGTTCCATATAAATCCAAAGATTAAGTATAAAAAAATAAAACTTTAAGAGTATTACAAAAGCCAGGTGTGGTGGCTCACACCTGTAATCTGACTATTTGGGAGGCTGGGGCTGGTGGATCACTTGAGGTCAGGAGTTTGAGACCAGCCTGGCCAACATGGCAAAACCCCATCTTTACTAAAAATGCAAAAATTAGCCAGGTGTAGTGGTGCATGCCTGTAGTCCCAGCTACTTCGGAGGCTGAGGCACAAGAATCACTTGAACCTCGGGGGCACAGGTTGCAGTGTGCCCAGATTGCACCACTGGATTCCAGCTTGGGCAAGAGAGGGAAACTATGTCTCAAAAA